AACAAGTTACTCAACCCCATTCCTCAGATTTTTGTGGACTACACAAGATTACAGGAATACTTAGCATTAGGATATCTTTCTTATGGAACTAAAATACGTTCCTAATTGATACTGTTGGTCTCAGATGGGTTATCCATTATAACAAGAGTTGATGGTGTCCAGTAGAACGTTATCTCGGGGACCTTGCCTTCCTGATGCTGTCTAAGAAGGTTGAAGCCGGACGTGGGGTGTTGACGAGTTTTAGGCAACCATCTGAGTAGTATGTTCCATCTTGCTCAGATTTCATTCCACAAACCCAGTCCACAAACCTAGTGCTGCTTTCGACATTTGATTCTCTATCTGCTTTTACAGCGTATTCAGAAAACGAATTTTGTTTCGTGAATGGAGGTGTTTCTTTTAGGCGTAATCCTATAGGAAGTGCTTGTGACGAATGATTCGCTGACTGGAGCAGGATTACAGTCCCTTCTGGAATTACTGCTGTTAACTGCTCTGTCCGGACCGCTTAGAATGATCGATATGACTATTGACCTGCTAACCCAGAAGGCGATTTAAAACAAGAGGCGAGATCACGTGCTCCACTCTTGTATCAACGCTCTAAAAAGTTAGTGTGGGTGTCAACACCAACCGAATGACTACACATACTCCTGTTATTGCGTTTGACGTTATGTTGTAATGGCGTCGGTGCACTCAGCTTGAATGCAATCCCAGTTTAGGCATGCGATGAATTTCAAAGTGTACATGATGTTCCCCCACTTTAGAGCGAAGAGAATNCATGATGTTCCCCCATTTTAGAGCGAAGCGAATGTATCACTTCTTCGAAATTTTTACATTTTCTTGGTATTTCACAGGGGCAGATTGAATTAATCTTTCGTTTTCCTCGATGACTTTCTCAAGGTGCCAAAGTGTTTGACTTATAAAAACCACTGGATCATCAGATAATCACCCGTCCATATAGTCGTGTTGTATAAACTTGGCTTCTTTGAGTGAAAATAAAGTTCACGCACTCACTAGTGAATCCAGAATCAGTTGATTTAATAAGACAGTGTGTCGGAACTCGTGGGGTCCCGTTTTCACATGGCTTTACGTAGACCTAATTCTTGCAAACAACTTGAGTGCACACGGGTTAAATGAGGTTGGTTGGAGCTGTAATAACCTTATAATTGCGTTTTTCAGACCCCTTCTCGGCGTACACAAGTTCGACTGGTGGATAAAGAGGAAAGCATAGTGTGTGATATACCGGAATTTTTCGCTGTTATCATCGTCAAGTTGTGTGAAATTTCAGCCTTCCCTGCACTGAGTCCCCATCACTCGGCTAAAACTGAATTGAGATTAGAAACAGATTACAAAATCTGAACGGGCTGGAAGCGAAAGTTGTTGATCTGGCACCGTAGCCGAACTGATTCCTACCAGGAGTCCATATTGTTCACTCAATCCGATAAAACGAAGTCATCTGTTTTTACTGACTGAAACAAGTTCATTTGGCTTCCACTCTGCTAACCAAGCCTTGAGACTGTTATATATGGAGAGGTGAAACGGACCATTTTAACATATAGAGTGGAGTGTTAGCCGTTGGCTTGTTCGCTGGGCTGGGCAATTTGTTTGCAAACGTTTCATTAACAATCGATGTGTCATTCATCAGTGCGTTGTTAGAGAGCCTAGTGATGCGTAGTGATGGATTGGTAGTTGTACGTTGAGTAGTGTTGCGCGTGTGTTAATTTACGTGCTCCTGACAGAAGGTCACCTTCGATCACGGTTAGTTGTTTGGTCGGGCGGTTCCTCTGTTATCCTGTGCCCTGATTCGGTACACAATGCACGTGAATTGCTCAACACCACGCTTGAAGATATTACGTTTACAATCAAATTGGAGAGTGATAACCGGCTACCATTCTTGGACGTTATGGTGAACAGAAAGGTGGATGGGGATCTAAAAAC